GTAAATTTTTAACATAGTCATGTATGCTTGCTCACATATGTTTTTGCCATGATCTTCATTGCATATATTCTATAGGGCTTTTTGATAGGGGGAGCAATCCCTATATCTTTGTATGTTTGATACTCACCCGTGCTTATTGATAGGGGGAGCTTTCGCTCTCTTTTTCTTTTGTCCCTTTTTGATGTTGTCAAAGGGGGAAAAATATTGTGAGTATATTCTTTCTTGTTTATATGCATGATATATTATACCTTGTATGTTAATTTCCTTTCATGCATATATCCTTTTTGTAAATTGTTTGTCATCATCAAAAAGGGGGAGATTGTTGGCCTTCTTATTTTGATGATGTTTAACAAACCTATGTTTTGTAGACAAACAACGTTGTTGGAGGATGGATGGAATAGAGCTTCAACGATCATATCCAAAGGAGGTTGGCGGAATGTCGGTGAAGCCTTGCTATTCAAAGTTCAAGATCCAAGTTAAAGCTTCATCCGCAAGATTACCTAGAAGAGCTTATTGAAGATCAAGTTCTAGCTTGGATAATTTAGTTTAGGATTTATATTATGTGTGTTATATACTCTAAGCTCAATTATCTATACACACACATTTATTGGTTTCTTCGTATATATATATATAGTTCAAGTTAAAGCTTCATCCGCAAGATTACCTAGAAGAGCTTATTGAAGATCAAGTTCTAGCTTGGATAATTTAGTTTAGGATTTATATTATGTGTGTTATATACTCTAAGCTCAATTATCTATACACACACATTTATTGGTTTCTTCGGTATATATATGTAATCACATATACATTCGTACACATGTTCGTGCATGTTTTACAAAACTGATGAGTTTTCTCAAATGGGAAGTTATATTTGAAAAATTCTTTCTCTGACATGTTTATCTACATATTTAGAAACTTCCCACAAAAGTTTACTATTTTTGGAGTTGATTTACTGTGCCTAATTGATTTTACAAAATCGTGTATCACAGCAGATTTTCAGAAACTGTATTTCTGTGTTAAAACATTTATTTCTCTCAACTGGAAAATTCTTTTTCAGAAATTCTTTCTCTAATATGTTTTTATACATGTCTAGAACCTTTCCTCAAAATGTCATAATTGTTGGAGCTGTTTTACTATTTTTAACCGATTTTATAAAATCGGATATACCTGCTACAGTACCGCCGGTCGACCGAAATTTCCGCCGGTCGACCGAAATTTACCATCGGTCGACCGAAATTTCCACCCGGTCGACCGAAGACTCTCTGGACGTCTCCTGCGACTCTGACCTT